ACAAGTAACACAATTAATATTTTAAATATTTAAATAATCCAGATCAAATATTATCCAGGCAGTTCAGTACAAGACACTTTCAAATATGATGTTCTATGGGTTAAAACTTGCACTTTCCTTTGGCATTGAAGTTTGCAGAAATACTTCTTACCCTAGCATCAACCCTGAGTGCCCTAATGCCCTTTCCCATCATTCTTCAGAGCATGTGTTGTACGACTTAATAATCATCAAAAACTCCATAACTGGCTTCATTTGAATGTTAATGCTGTGCATTTTAGTTTAATACAACCTTGATCTACCTTTTTGGGCAAAGGACAGTATAAAAATGAAAGAAGTCATCCCTCAAAGAATACTGTAGTTGCCAACAGAAAAGAAAAATACTTTATACAAACCCTGAAAATTTGTGGATTTTTTAAATCTCATTGAAGAAGTTACACATTTCACTTACTGATGTTGCTCAATAAAAATAAATTCTTGTAGAAAAGACTTGCCCATAAATGAGACAGTTGAACAGAAAGACTTGTGTGCCTATGAATTATAGTTCCGGACTGCTTATACTCTGCCTTAAAGCTGTGTATTCTTTCTCTGTACTTGTGCAACGCAATTATATTAGAAGGCCTTCTTAAAACTGGGTGATCTATTGGTTTAGGGAGCTAAAGATTAATTCCAGATGTAGTAATGCTCTTCTAGCCCTTCAAAAAGTAACTACTGCACCATCTGTTTTGTAATAGACAATTTCAAAGAGTGCCACGGGGAATGTTAAATACATTGGTCAAACGGCCACATATACCTCACACACAGGAATCCTAGAGGTCACAGTGCCTCAGACAGATTCATATTTTCAGGTTTTTTTCTCCATCATTACATTATGAAAACTCAAGGAACAGTTCTCCTTCCTTCCAAAATAGGAAGATGTTTTCCAGATTATTACTAGTGTTGACATGTATGAGGCAAAATTCAGACCTGAATTCAGTGGAATTACTGGAATTCACAGTGACAAGTCTCCTATACTTGTCTGACTTCTGGATCCTTGTATATTATTCCAAATGGCTTTTGTGTTTGTTTTTTTTTGGAGGGGTTGTGATGTTTGCTTTTCTCTTTCTTTCCTTTTTTTTTTTTCTGAAATTAAGTCAGTAGCAAAAATTTAATGCTAAAATTACTTCAGATTTGGCAGGTTGCCCAAGGAATATGAAGGGTGCATGAGGTAATGAAGGGTTATTCCATGTCATGAGTGATAATTTTTATTTTCCCTAGTAATTTCAGGAAGCTTGAAGGAAAGGAATTATCTCTGTTCTTCTAAATAAAGTCTTGTGCACCAGCATCACCAAAAAAAAAAAAGAAAAAAAAGATTACTCAGGTCTGCCATCAACATGGCCTAAATTCTTCACAGCTACAAAACTGAAGTAAAAAACATTCTCTGAAGATTTCCCAAGTATAAATATGAACTTCAGAGTAGAAACTCATGATTTATACCAAACAGTCCTGAGAAAATGTCTAAAATGAAAACAAAAGGAAACAGAAAATCTGCTAGAAATTAGACAATCACAATCTTCTACCATCCTAGAGAGATTTTTTTGCCTGCAGTGACACAAGGTAAATAACTGGTAAAAAGAATTAAAGATTAATAACATGTCTCCAGTTCATTCCTCTTTGGTTTTCCCAGTACATCCAGTCATATTTTATACCAATTCTTGTAATAAGTTGTGACAAAATTAGTTTAGGACTAGCAGACAGACTAGTGTACCCATTTAAGTATTGCTGACTTTGCTGTGGCTCTCCCCATTCAACATCACATGCAGAATCAGTGCTTTAGACTGTAAGCATTATATCTGGGCATACTCCAACTACAACTAAAAGTTCAAAGTTTGCTGATGGGAAATAAGAAAGAAATTAGTACTAAAAACATCCCCATCTAGAATTCCTTAGAACTGTGTTTCTTTAAGCTGTTATTTGGGAAGTGTAAAGAAATCCTACACATACAGGAAAATTTGCACTTTTTCAGTATTAAATATTATTAAAACAAAGAAAAGTTGCAAAGTGGAATAGGAAACACCTGTTTTGGAGGACTTCATAACACAACTTTTTTTGATATTGAAGACATCTTAAAGAAATACATTCTGAAAATGTACATATACTACATTCTGGCTAATGTACATATTGGTGTGTGAGAATAATACACACTCCTACAGCAAAGTCCCCATTGCTTATGACAAGATTTAATTGAAAAGAATAGATTCAATAAGTAACAGAACTAGGTGTTATACCAGATACCCATATTCCAAACTAAAAGCTTAAAGAAAATGGTGCCTGAAAGAAGGATACAGAACAGGAAATATTTTAAGGGAACATCATATAGAGGTAGTTATCCATACTACTACATAATCATGGATAGTTTTGAATCCTGGTCTATAAAGAACTAACATATCTCCTTCAGAGCTAAAAAATTATCTCTTATTTAATCTTATGTAGGTATCCATACTCGCCCCACAAAAACACCAAACAAGCCAAAGAACCAAACAATCAAACAAAATCAATCTGGATAAAACTCATTCTTGCAAACCAAGTAGTGTAGCTGTCCCATCTCTTGCTGGGCTGATGTTCCTGGAAGATAAGGCTTCTAGAATAAAGAAGAATTTAGGGAGAATTTTGTTTCAACACTACTTGAGGTAGTTTACTACACCTCATCTTAATTCCTGATTTTGATTAAGAACTTTTAGCTACTTCTTAGCTATTCTAGAACATAGTTAATAGATCATAAGAGTCACAAATCATACTCTATTCCTCTGCTTTCTAGGCGTATGATCTGCCTTTAACTAAATTATACAACCATACAAAAGCAGAGCTGAAGACCAATGCTTCCTTTGAAAAATACTCAAGGACTGGTTTAGGTGAGTTATTTCTTGGAGCTCAAAGAAAGAAAACCCAGAAACTCACCACCAGTAACCCTTCTCTTCTTATTCCATAGTTGTCTTAACCCTAAATGACAAACAAGTCCTTCAAAGCTCACTGTTTTCTGGGCTGAGAGGCTAATTTTTTCTAGCTGAGGCCACTACTCCTCCACTTCACTCTAACAACACCAATGGTACACCTTTTGCATGGGAAAAATGTGCCAGCCACTTGCTAGCTACTGCCTGTGTCATACACACTGTGTCAAAATGATCTATTCCATTCAAGATGTATTGATCCAAAATTACTCAGCCCAGGATAAAAAGAAAGCAATTATTTTATTCACTTGACACATGCTGTGTTTAGGAGAGTTCAATTTGTAGCACTAGTTAATCATTAACAAAAGAACAGTTTTAAAAAGTAACTTATTTGTTCCTCACAGCAGAGGATTAAGACACAATGTACTGAGTAACTGGTGCAATACAATTGCTCTGCAGAAATGATTGTATTTCTATCACACACTTTTTGGAAAATGTAATCACTTTAACTTTCATTGTATTTGTAACTCTGCTTCCTTTCTCAGCCATCTTTTTAGTTCTTTATTTGAGGGGTTGATTGATTGATTTATCCTGATAGTGTTGCATCCAGCAAGGATTAATGTTCTTGCCCAGAGAAGGGCAACAGAGCTGGCGATGGGTGTGGAGAGCCCAGGTCCTGGGAGGAACAGTTGAGGAAGCTGGAATTGTTTAGCTTGGAGAAAAGGAGGCTCAGGTGTGATCTTACTACCCTCTACAACTGCCTGAAAGAAGACTGTAGCCAGATGAGGGTCCATCTTTTCTCCAAAGTAACAAACAACAGGACAAGAGCAAATGGCCTCAAGTTGCATCAGAGGAGGTTTAGTTTGTATATGAGGAACAATTACTTCACTGAAAGGGTGATCAGGCATTGAAACAGCCTGCTTAGGAAAGGGTGGAATCACTGGCCCTGGAAGGGTTAAGAAAACCTATGAATGTGGCACCTAGGGACATGGTCTAGTGGCAAACACAGTGGTGTTGGGATAACAATTGGACTTAATGATTTCAGAAGTCTTTTTTAACTTTAACAATTCAATGACTGCCAGCCCAAATCACAATTACTGACCATAAACTCTACGACAATGGTGACAGGATAAATGGGTGTGCACATCTTTACAAACTACTGGATAACCTGAAAGAACCAATCATGTTCTGGAAGATCGGGTGTGGGGGTACATGTTGGAGCGTAGATATGTAGTATGCGGATCTGAAAGGTTGTATCCTCCTACTACCTCACCCAATGGGAAAATTAGGAGGGTGTTTAGAATAAAGGGAGGCTGTGTCTGCTAAAAACTGGAAAGACCCTAGATGGGTATGATCCACTGGGATCTCTCTAGTTTTGGGTAAAGTTGATTTTTGCAGGACTCCTCTGCCTTGTTTGTCAACACTAGCCTTTAGCAGCATGATTTTCTGCACACTGGTAATGACTGTGGCCTTGTCCCTGGTTTGTCTGCCTAGAGGAGCTCCTCCATTATTGTAGTGAGGTTATGAGTGTCACCAGGCATACAGTATATAAATAACCCTAGCCACTCACAAGGAATAGTTTTGGCACACAGTTATGCCGTGTGGAACAATTGCTGTGGGTGTCTCGGCAGCACTTCATCCACACACGCTGTGTCACTGTTCACTCCCCGGGGAGAGCCAGCGCTCTTCCACCCTGCTGTCCTTCCACGCTCAGTTACTGCAGACAGAGGTGAAACAGGCCCTAACCCTGATATCCTGTGTCAGCACTGAAACGGATCCGTGGCTTTCACACGCCAACTATACCTGTCCTACGCACTTAGCAGATGTTCAACAGGTGCAAGGCTGTGGACGCGTTATGTTTGCGAACATCTGCAATCCCGATGGCAGCGGGGCTGTTGAGTCCCCCTGAAAATCCGGCTTGTAAAGTGCCGTTCCCAACACTGCACCCTGAAGTTGGGGCGAAGCCGAGGCCTCTCCCACCTTCACCACCACCCGTACAGGGGAGGAATCCACGCTGCCGGGCCGGCAGCCGGAGCGGGCCCGCGGCCCGGCCAGGCCGCAGGGGGCGGTCCGGGCCCGGCGCCGCTAGCCCGGGCGCAGGCGCCGCCGTGGGCCCGCGGCGGAGGGCAGCTCGCTCCGGGACGGCGGCTCCATGCGCTGCCAGGTAGGTGCGACCTGCCGGCGACCCCGGGGGCCGTTCGGCCGGTGCTGGGCAGGACAGCGGGGCTCCAACTGCCCCTGGCCTCGGCGGGCAGCGGGAGCGGCCTGGGCGGCGGGCGCGTTGCGCGGATCCGCGGTCCCTCACCGACCCCCGCCTTCTCCGCCTTTCCCCCGCTGTCCTGACAGCCGGGGCAGGAGAGACGCGGCAGAGCCGATCGGCATCGAGAAATGCCTGGGAAAGCTTGGCGCTCTGGTTCCGGCTATGTGCTGGTATTTTGGGAGCGGTTTTCTGGGCAGGCCCCGCGCCCCTGAGCGCCGTTTGTTCCCTGGGCAGGTCTCGGTGCTGTATTTCGCCAGGAGCGCGGAGCTGGCGGGGCTGCGCTCTGAGACCCTCTCGGTGCCACGGGAGATCACCTCTCTGCAGCTCTGGGAGGAGATCGTCAAGGTCCACCCCAGGTATGCAGCAAGTTACCCTTGAGGTGCACAAAGAAACGTGGTTGGATTTTTTTTTTATTTTTTATTTTTTTTTAATACAAATTTGGTCTTCAGCATTGCTCTGGAGCGCACAGCAGTACTTCGACATCACAAAAACAGTGGTGTTGCATTCTTTTGGTAACCTGCACCAAGTGTTCTGTGTTTTGTGCAGCTGGAAGTGTTGTAGATTCATGTATACTACGGAAAGACCAGGGTGCAGGAGATGTATCCAAAACTGGACATGAGAGGTACACGTGGCCCATTGTCCAGGAGGCCTGTGATGTGGTAGCTTGAAAACTACCACATTAATGGTCTGTGGAGAAGGTGAGATGCTGCAAGGAGGGATCAAGCACAGCCAGGACAATAAATAAGAAATAAATGATAATATGCAGGTGTTTCCAATTGCTTAGGTTAGATATTAGGACGAAGTTCTTCATTGAAAGGATGCTTCGACATTAGAATGGGCTGCCCAGGGAGGTGGTGAAGTCACTGTCCTTGAAGGTTTTTAAAGAAAGATTGGACTTTGTGCCGTGGTCTCGTTGGCATGGTGGTGTTCAGTCATAGGTTGAACTTGATGATCTTAGAGTGCTTTTCAAACTTAATTGATTCTGTGATTAACTGTACTGTGAGCCATTGGTCTGAACCTATGAAACTCTATACAAGGCAGGTCAGGAAGGAAACTGAAGCTCCCCATAGGCTTCCAGCCACTCAGCCCTCACACACCAAATGTGTTCAGTCACTTTAATGCTCTGAAAAAGATGCACACTGCTGCTGGTTGCATTTTGTAAGGATTCTGGTCCTGAGAAAGCACTGTGTGTGCTGTAAGGGCCTCTGCAGCATTGGTGCTCCTGGGGGTGCTGACAGAAATGTCCCCTCTGTTTAAAGCTGAGAGAAGGTGCTCAGTCCTGTCAAGAACAGATCTGATGGACAAAGATGCAACATTTTGGAGGGATAGAAGGGGGTAAAAAAAGAATAAGGTTGTAAGAGAGGTTGTAGTCTTCAGCATTAGTGCTCAGTACTCTGGAATTTCTGTAACTTTGGATTCAGGGGTCCAAGTCTTCCTTTAGGTGCTACCTTTCTTCAGTAAAATACTCCCAAACACTATGAAAAAAATAAACTATTTAACACTAGTATCTGTTTTCAAGTGAGAAACTATTCACAAAATGCTGTACTAGGCACCTTTTGCTCACAGAGAATTTAAATAAAGTGTGTTTGGGTGTGAGAGGCAGTAGGGAATTGTGTAAATTTTACTTTGCAGCCTTTTTGTCTATGTCAGAAGCAGCAGCAGCACTGTTGGTCATTTTGCCATAATTTGTCAACTTTGTCCTTTTATGAATGATGACTTGGGGCAGTACAGTTTGCATTTGCAGTTACTTCACAGTGGCCTTCTTGAAAAATGCTTCTGTTCCTAGCTTTTCTGGAAAAACTCAATATAATTGTAGGGCATTGACCACAGATTTCTATTCACATTGCTAACGGATATTCAAATTGCAGCTTGAGCGTACTTGACAGTGCTTTTCTGTTCCATGCATTTTCCCCAACTAATTAGCTTGCAAGAGACTTTAATTAGAGCCCATCCTTCTAATGGGCACTTCAGTTCCATGGTTGTGCACAGTTCTTTAGTGGCTTTCTTTGCTTTCATACAGTCCTTCCCTTCAGTCTGTTCTCTGAATCAGTGCTACTGTTTTGCTTAGCCTGTGCCTTGACTACTTTCATCTATCTATCTGGCTGGTAGGAAACAAGATGATTTTTACTTGTACTCTTTTGGTCTGCTTACTTGTTTCTAGGCAATACAGCTGAGCTGGCTGTGCCAGATTTTGTAGTGTCAAACAAGAACTGTTATCATGCCTTCACTATCTGAAGAAAAATGCAATTCTTTTTTTCTGCAGTCTTACTGCTATAGCCCTCATGCTTGCTATGTAATTGCACTTAGTCATGGAGATGATTTCCTGCCTCATGATATCCAGAGCTATGAACTTTCATGGCAATATCTCACATAAAAAAATTATGTAGAAGATCCACCAGAAGACAAATCACATTTGCTGTCTTAGTTCTGTGGCCACTCCTTATCAATGGTAGATTTCAGACCTGTTAGTACAAAAGACCTAAAGCCTACTAAAGTATGAGCGCGCACAACAAGAGCAACTCTGAGGCTCTGAATTTTCATGAGATCTCATGAACAGCATGCCACAATACTTCTTGTTGTGTAAGAAAATTGGTCTAGTCAAATCATACTGCATCAAGACAGTATTTCCTTCTAATCCCAAATTAGATGATTGCTATCTCTTGAGTTACCAACTTTTTCATTGTAAGCTTCTGAGTTGGGTCTGGTATGCATTGGTTTGTTCTGACATAGGCCTATGAAAAATCTAAATCTTGATTTCTGAAAATTATACTGATCTTGTTTCTTCTTGGCCACTACAAGAAAATCCAAGATTAGGAGGTTCGTGTTGGTTGTATTTTTGACAGTGTCTTGGAAGCAAAGTTGTGTAAGTCTCAGTGGTTTTTACCTCAGCTGCCCTAGACTGTGGACCAGTTTGCTGTTCAGTGAAATCTCATGGTTAAATGCAAACATTGTTTGGAAACCTGTTTGTGCTTTTGCCAATCCCCCTCAGGCTTGCTGTCATCCGGGATCAAGTAGTATTTGCCGTTCGGCAGGAGTACGTGCTTCTTGGAGATCAGCTGCTGGTCCTGCAGCCTGGAGACGAGGTTGCCATCATCCCACCAATTAGTGGAGGCTGAACCTGCCCTGGTTCTATTAGGTAGGTATCACTTACTGCCTGGTTTCCTGTGGAGTATAACCCTGTGCTAAAATAGCTCATGAACTCCGTGTGATGTTACAAGAACCTTTTCTTGTTTAGGTCCGAAGATGTGATTGCAATTCTCTCCTGCCACCCCAGTACTCATTTGAGAGAGCCCAACTTGTGTTTCTGTCTGGAGAATGCAGTTGTGCTGAGCAGAAACTATATGCCAGTGCACCAGTAAATGATTAACATGTATGCAGTAAATGGAAGACACTTGCCAGAGAGGTCAGGCATTGCTTTGAATCTGGGTTTTAGGTCTTGTTACTCTTTCCTGGTTATTTCTTCCTACCAGTGGAAACTTGGCTTGCCTAAATACAATAATGAAAAACATCCTGCCACTTTTTAACAAAAAAGATAATATAATAAAAATAATTGACTGCTGCTTAGAAATTTTGTTTGTTTGTTGCTGTTAAAAAGGTGTCCTTAGAATAGCTTAATTTCTTTGCCTGCTTTCAAGTGCCTGTCCGTCTATTCACTGCAGTTTGTTCCATTGCTGCTGATCAAAATATTTCTCATTCTTAGGTGATCTGATGACTGGTGATGACTGGTTTCTACTCAGAAAAGTTAAAAGTGTCCCTTGTGTGTCTGTAACAGACTGGTAGTATGAAGTCCTGAATGTCCTGGAGAGCATACTCAATTTTAGGATTAGAACTCTAAACCATGTTTATCAGAAATCCCTGTTTTAAACTGTTGGTTTTGATAAGATAAGTAGGAGGGACTGACAATATCAGCACAGATTTACCAGTGGTCTGTGCTGGTTGAATGTACTGTTAAACCAGGGCCTCAGGCTAATTAGTTTCATCCCACTGTACCAGACTTTCTAACCAGAAAGAAATATATATGCAATAAAACCAAGTCATTCCTTGTAATTTGCAGTTAATATTCTCTCAGCCAGGCTGCAGAGAAGTGAAGTTCATATGTAGACTGGTCTCTTGGGCAAATAGATAGCGCCTGTGTTGTGCATAAATTGTGGCATCGGCACTGGATAAAAAGCAGTTGGCTGATGCTAGTATCTCCAGGAGCAACAACAGAGTCTGTTTGGTTTCAGCTTTCCTAGTGCGATATGGAAGAAAGCGAAGATGTGCCAAAAGATTTTATCAAGCTCAAGTTTGAAAAGCTGTCTGTAGATGAAGTGTCAGAGCTGGTTGTTTCACCATACTGTGGGGCAGTGTCTCTGTTCATTGGTGAGTTTAATATTTGTGAGCTAAGTCTCTGTATATGTTAATGGTCTAATAAATGGAACTTATGTTGTCCACATCCCAAACTTGTAGTTCTCAAATAAATCAGTTCCTGGGCTGAGCCCAGGATGTTTAGAAAACAGATTCTGAATTATTAGAGCAAGACCATGGCAGCTCTTAAATACCTGCAGAGGGCTAAAGTGGTGTGAAGCTTTCTGGCTGGTATGGCTATTGTAGGACTGAACAGAACAGCAGCTCTGGAGTACAGAACTGCCTGGGAGTTGTTCTCCTGTCCCCTGGGATACAACTTGTTCAGGGTGGGAAATGGGATATTGTGGCTATGCCAGCCACATATCCACACCAATATGCAAGGTCCTGTTACTCAGGTCTTAGTTGAAAATGAAATACTATTCTACCAGTGGACTGGTGAAAGTCAGGCTGATAGTTGTGTCCAGTGGTTAATGTACATGGCACACATATGAAACTTCCTTGTGCTTAAACCCTAATGCTACTAGGCTCCTAAATACTGGGAATTTAAAAATTACTTGGGCCAGTGCCATTTTAGAACCTTAGCAGTTACCACAGAAGATGTCCCAGCCTTGGGCATTATGGACCTCTAATGTGTAAACTAAATTCTTCCTTTTATAGTAAAGATTTATCTTGTTCAAATGCTCTCATTATGCAGCCATGATTAGAGGAGGTTGTTTATATTTGTGCAGTGCTGACTTTGACCATAGCAAGAGATCCTGGGTTTTTACTCTATATTAATATAATATACAATGTGTATTATAAAGATACAATATAAAAAAGTGCTCATTTACTCAGTGCTTTTAGTTGATAATTTTTGTTTAGGTACTACAAGAAATAATTTTGAAGGAAAAAAAGTGATTCGCTTAGAATATGAAGCATATACTTCAATGGCAGAGACTGAAATAAAGAAAATCTGCAGAGATGTTAGACAGAAATGGCCTTCAGTCAAACATATTGCAGTGCACCATAGACTTGGGTATGTATGTCGAAATCCCATTCTTCTGCAACTGGAGCATCAATACTTGTCAGGTGCATGGCTGTGCTTACATAGTTGCAGAACCTGCAGGAGTGTTTAGAAACCATAGTACAGCAAAGCTGGCTGCAGGATCAAGCTCTTGCTCTGGAGCTAAGTTTCAAAAATTTGTTTTCAAAAATGTGTTTATTGGTAGGGTTTGCTGGAGTCCACACAGCCAGGCAGGATCTTTGATGCTGATGTGATGTTTTGAGAGTGGGGAGATACTTCATTCCAGGGAAGGGGAGGTTCTTGATTTATTTTGTTCGTTATTTTTAAAAGGTGTGAAGTTGGCAGCACTTCATTTTTTTTCTTCTCTCTCCTGTTGACGGGCTACAGAATATTCTTAATGTGAGATTTAAGTCTATTTATGCTACAAAAAGTCTGAAAGCTTAGGCTGTGGGGCATAGTAATTGTCAGCCATGCTTGTGGGAGAACCTCCTGTTGTTCCTTGAGTCTTGGATAAGCATTTTCCTTTTGATTCAAAACATAGAATACTAGTGTCTGACATACTCTTGGGCCTTCCCAGTTCAGGGAAGATTTCTTGCTGAAACTAGCAGGATCTGCTGAAATCCTAAAGGAACTTGGGATGTGATTGCAAAGGGTAAGTAAGATACAAGGCCTGAGGGATAGTTTCCTTAGATTTCCTTCTACAGTCAACAGAGAGGGTGGCTGTCATGAGAGCAACTCAAAAGTATTTAGGCTGAGATTTCTTCCTGTGGACTGTGCTGAAGGAGTCTTACTATAGAGGGAGAATTGGGAGGTAGGTTTTGGGAATGCTACAGTTGCAAGGAGAAACACAGAACCTTGTGTTTCTATTAAGTTTAACCAAGTAGGAAACTTCAGAATCTAAAATCAGAATTCATCAAAAAATTGCTTTCTTTGCAAAATCTGCACAGTGTCAGCCACTTAATTTTTTTCTTTTGCAAATTCTTGTGCAAACTGAGATGATTTGTTAGGTTATTAGATAAGAACTGGCTGTTCTAACTTGTTATTAAGCCATTATTAAGCATTATTAAGCCAGCTTCCAGTGAGTTTCCTATGCATTGTTACAAGTTAACAATTTCCCCCTCTTGATTCCATAGGCTTAATTGTAAAAAAAGAAAGAATGGAAAAAAAAAGCCCATGTCTGGTGGGTTTATTTATTCTGAAGTGTGGAATTCTAACATCTGGTAGTGATTTTGATTATGGTTTTCTTTCTTTTTAAAAGTGTATAATCTTTTGGATGTGGTTTGACACTTGCTCAGTATGAATGAGTCAGGAGAGCACGTGGCCAGAACACTGACGTGACATGGCAACAACTTTTGGGTGCTCTTGATGTTAAGTGTTAGCTAAAGCTGCTGTTGTTCCTCTTCTCTCCCTAGTGTGGTTCCAATAACTGAAGCAAGTGTAATTATTGCAGCCTCCTCTCCACACAGAGCAGAATCCCTTGAAGCTGTAATGTACTGCATCAATACCTTAAAAGCATCTGTCCCAATATGGAAAAAGGTATGTTTTGGGGACAAAATAAAATTTAGGCCTATGCTTGTCTTAGATGTCTGGGCTGCCTTAGCAGCATTACAGGCAGCAGCTACTCCTGATGGGTTGTCAGTGTCCAGCACCAGTGAGTTTCCTCTATCACAGTCAAGCCCATATATGGTAGTTAGAGCATCTGGAAGGTTCTCCTGTACCTGTACCATCCAGCTCTTCTTTATTTTGAAGGCATCATAGGGTAAAAGCAAAGGAGGCCTGAGCTCTCCTCTTTTGAGTAGTAAAACTCAGTTCTGCATAGGCTTGTGGAAGAATTTGAGTCAATTTTGCTTTGGACAGCATTGCAGTTTGCAAGTAAAAGGAGCATTTCTTACCTTTCTCTTTTCTCCTCATTGCTGTGGCCATGAGAAAGCACTAAGCAACAGCACACAATGAAGTCATGAGCAGAACTTCCAAAGTGGAGAAACCAGCCCAAGTCTAGAAAGAGCCCTGTTGTGTAACAGTGTTGCATGCAAGTAACGAGCATTATCTCTGCCTTCTCTCCCTGGCAGAACTTGGCATGTGGTTAACAGTGATATTCCCCAGATTACTCCACTTTTCTGATACCTTCTTGAGGAGATGGAAGTTCTCTCAGAATGAATAATCAGGGACTCAGAATTTGATGCTTAGGACTGTACTGCAGCTGGGTAATCCAGTCTGTCCTTAAGATCTATTACTGTATTTAGTGTATTAATGAAATTTTTATTTTAATATTGGCATTTTGTTACATCTAAATTCTCATAACAAAATGATGGGACAGTAAGTTTATGTAGCAGCATTTATGCTGTTTACATTACGGCAATTAGATAATTTCTTCTAGATCTCTTTGTTGAATTAATTTCAGCATAGGTGGGCCCTTTTAAATTCATTGGGGATTAGCCTGGGATTCAGCTAAGTCCCTATGTTCTAAGGGTGCTGCCCTCTTCTGCTTACCAGCCAAGGGCTGTGCAGTCCTGTTGTGATCAGTAAATAATAGTGGGATGGCTGTTGACTTATTTGGCCTGGTTTGTAGTTGTATGTAGCAGACTCACAACATTTCCCATTCTTTGTTTGTATTACAGGAGATTTATGAGGATGAATATTCTTGGAAAGAAAACAAGGAATGCTTTTGGGCAAACTCAGAAAAATAATTGTACTCTTTTGAAAATAAAGTGTTACTCTTCCTAATGAAGTTTGAGTTTTTACAGAGAATCTCTATGTTTCTAAACAGTTCTAATAGATGTTTCAATCTCAATAATTTAGTTTGGACTGAGTGAGATTATGGAGGATTAATGAGGGGTTTTAGGTATTCCTGAGTCTCCTTTGGAATTGCCTTTTTGTGCATTTTAACGTGGAGTCAGTTTTTAAAAAAAATCCTCCCTAAAATTCTTTGTTGCAAGGTGTTTAGACTACTCTGTGATGAATACTACTTTAATGCTTTTACCTTGGTAGTCTGTGTTCTCTGACTGCATGGGAGGTCATCACAGGATGATTGCATTTTTTTAATCTTAAAGTTCAGAGAGATTTAATTTTCTATGACTGAAGACTTAAGTTTGCAAGCTTTACGCTATTCTGACATTCTTGTAACATGAAAGCTATTTGAAGTAGATGAACTGTTTTAGTACAGACAGAGAAGAAAATACAAACTATACCCCAGAGTTACTAACTTTTTAGTAGTGCTTATATTCCAGTAGCTTTGTCTCACAGAAAGGTTTTTACTGTGCAGCTGATATTACCAGGCCATTGCATTAAGAAATATGGATAGAGATTGATTTAAAGTTAAAGATATTACTCTACCAGCAAAAAAATTGCCATAGCAATAACACACCAACCTGTAACTACTTAATAATGTCTAGACAAAATTTTGAAGGTGACTTTTTGGTTGTGTAGTTATGTGGTACTGGAGGAAAAAAACTCCAAACCAGTTATTATTACAAATACACAACTATAGTGTAATTAGTTGCAGTAATTTGACTTCATATGTGTAGGGATTAAAAAACATCAAATGGAATAGTTTTTCAAAGAAAAGGGAGTTTATTGAACTTATTGAAATTCATATATGCATTTATATTCACATTCAAGATTTAATCTTACTACTGTTTTTCTCTTGTTACTGTTTTGAAAACCAGTTAAATGAACTGACATAATATGCCTGGAAATAACGTTACCTGTCTGAGCAAGGTCATTTTATTTGTTATTCTACTGTGCTATGGTAGTATTTAGATGCTAAGAATTTGAGGTCCCATTGTGTATGGCATTTCTGTTAATGCTGAGAGGCAGTTTTATCTAGTCGTCATTATCTGTGTAGACAAGGTAGATACAAGCAAAGGGAAATAAGGTAATGCTAAATTATTTGCTCAGTTGCTCATATATATGTTCCTATATCAAATATAGTTATTTATAATCCAGGTGCAAAGTCATACTCCTGAGTCAGGACAATCCCAAGCACAAGTACAAGCTGGAGGGAGAATGGATCAAGACACACCCTGGAGAGAAACCCTTGAGGGTGTTTGTGAACAAAAAAGCTCAGTATGAGCTGGCAATGTGCACTTGCAGCCCAGAAAGCTGGCTCTGTCCTGGGCTGCATCAAAAGCAGCAGGGCTGGCAGGTCAAAGGATTTGATTCTGCTCCTCTGCTGAGTCCCTCAGGAGACTCCTAGGGAACCCTGCATCCCATTCTGGGGTCCTCTATGCAATATGAATGTAGTTGGAATGAGTCCAGAGGAGGGCCATTAAGTTCATCAGAGGACTAGAACACCTCTCCTGTGAAGGCTGACGGCTGGGGTTGTTCAGCTTGTAGAAGGCTCCAGGGAAATCTTACATCAAATTTCAGTACTTAAAGAGGGCTTACAAGAAGTTTGGGGGGGAAATTTTCACAACATGTACTGATAGGACAAGGGGGAATGGCTTTAAGCTGAAGTGAGGGTAGCTTAGATCAGCTATTAGGAAGAAATTCTTTACTGTGGGGGTAGTGAGGCACTGGCACATATTGCCCAGAGAAGCTGTGGATATCCCATCCCTGGAAATGTTCAAGGCCAGGCTGGATGGCGCTCTCAGAAACCTGGTCTAGTGGAAAGTGTCCCAGCCTATAGCAGGATGGTTACAACTGGATGGTCTGTAAACGGCCCTTCCAACCCAACCCAGTTGTTGATTCTGTAATCATTATATCACACAACAGTGAAGCCTCAGCTGTATATTCCATTTTATTGTGTGCAGAAAAAATCTACTAACAACTTCTAGCTGCACAAAGTAAAATGAGGACAGTAGGTGATGATCTTTTTTTCCTACGGGTGTTTTAATCACTTTTAATACTTAGTTACTGTATCTGAATTAAGTAAATTGTAAGGAAACATACAGCATCAGGCAGAAACATAGTTAAACTGTGCTTATTAACATATTGATGCACTTTTCCTCAGTGGAAGTCATTTCTTCCTCTGCAGGACAGCAGCTGCTCCTTGCGTGCTTACAGATACACACTGTAGAAACCATGTGGGCCCTATTATCTAAGCAGAGCTAATCAAGTACAAGATTGAGTTTTCCTTTGTTTTGGAGGCTGGAGAGAAGCCCTCTGCTGTTTGAATGTCATTTTTACTGGGATTTGTACAGAATACTGAGCACAATCACTCTGTGAAAATTATTTTTCACTTTAGAAGATAAATACATTAATTTTTTCATATTTGGTGTTAATTTTTCTATGTTCATGTTTGCTGACACCATGCAACTAATAAGTGTATTAATTAAAAAAAAATAAATGTTTAGCTTGTTTTTCAGTGGATAGTTTGTGAATGAAGTAAAACTTATACAGTACTTCCATACTAATGCTGTGCTTTCATACAGAAAAACAGTGGTACTTAAATCTGTTAAATTCTACTTAGGTGCCCATGATCAGGGGTAATTCCTGAGTTGCAGAAGTGTCCCTTTATTGCCTTTCTAGTGCTGCAGACTCCTGAAAGATTTCTCCAGGGTGACCTTAAGTGCACCTTCCCCATCAGCAATGCAGCTGGGAAGGATGGTGCAGAAAAGAAGAGAGAATAATTGTGTACTTCCCCACAGTGACCAGGAACAATGAATGGAAGAGATGTTGTACTGAGTCACAGCTGAGTGTTACAATGTGTGTATGCTGCCATGGTAAAGACAATGAAATGTCATTTTTTGTCCCTAGCTGTGCATGAGGCAAGTACTGCTTTGTTCTGGAACAATGATGTATCAGTCTTGTGTAACTTTGGGTTCTTTAGCTGGCATGTAAAAGCGAAATGGAAATGTCTCTGGGAGGGATGGTGTGCTAATTAGAGGTAAAATGTATCTCACTGAAATTTAACTCCATGCTCTGAACTCAGTGTTCTGTCTCCCTTTGTAGGGCTACCCTCTCTGCTAGGGCAGTATTATCATAAAAGGGCAGATTACTGTGTTCTAAGATAAGTGCTTAAGCTGTGTCTGAAGTGACCCAGAAGTTTTTCCAAATTGCCAGGCCAGGGAATGAATCCCAGCTGTGTCTCACTGTGTGTTAGGAAAAGATGTGGCTGCACATGTCCTGCTGTCCACACATGCAGAACTAGTGCTGGATGAGGGCTATTCTGTGTTATGGTGAGATCCGTTGAGTGGGATGATAGATAATTGCAGATCTGTCTGTCTACAAGGAAGACCCAGCTTTCTGGAATGAGTCCAGCTGTTTCTCTTCCTTGTCCGTAGGGAAGGGTAATCCCACCTCTCCATGAGACTAGCTGTGTTGAGCTGGTGGCTTTGGTACGGATGTTCCCAGAAACAAATGCTGCAAACCCAGAGGGTCACCATGTGATTCCTGTAGAGATCTGGCAGATGAAGGCTGTCTGTGGAAGGGAAGTGCATGTCTTCAGAGTGATAATTTGTCCTTCTGAAAAGATCCCTTAGTCTTGGCTGGCAAAATTTGAATACACTGATCCACCCCTTTGTCTGGCCAAACATACCAGCACTGATAGATTTTAAGAGTTTCCTTTCCTGATTTTGAGCATTGTGCTCTGTTCTCAAGAGAAGCTCAGCCTGATCCATACAATGAAAACAGTAAGTGATGGATTGTCATGGACTAATGGGGCAGGGGAGGAAGGGGGTTGTTTTATAAGGTGCCTACCCAGGAGATGGCAGCCGAGATGGCTGAGCAGGGGGAGCGGCTCCTGGCCCACTCAGGTGCTGGCCATGCTGGGAAATAACAGGCCCTTACTTCAGCTCTTGCTTGTGAAAGAGCCACTGCTGCACTCAAGAATGAAGCCTTTAGATTGCTCAACTTTGAACTAGATTTTTGGTCTTTCTCTCTACTCACTTTATGCACAGCTGTTCCAAGTAAGTTGTAGAGTAGCACATTCGTTTGTTGCTTCAGAAGCATTAAAAAGAAAGAACTGCTAAATCTAGTTATTAACAAATTTTATGTTAAAGCAGAGAGCGCTGCTCTTTCCCTCTAAAAATGCTGTGTGAAAAATAGTCTTGAGCATTAAGTGCCATTAAGTACAATTAAGTGTCCTGTGGAGGTGATTGAAAAGAGCTCAGAATAGGCTGGTTCAAGAACAGTTTCTTTGAATACCTTAGGCATGTTTTTTGACAAACATACCATAAAATTTGATCTTATCAAGTGTTACAAAAATAAGCATCCTGATGTAACTTTATAGCTGTTCTTTTTATAAAAGTTCCATTTTGACTATTTTAAGAGGCAAATACATTTTTAAAACTAGCATACTAAAGCCTTTGATGACATACAAATAATTGACCAATTAACTGAGAATAAAAAGGCTTGAAATATAGGACTCAACTTTTCTAAAGCTATGAAAATGTACACTTAATTTATTTTTACAGGCAACAAAAAATTGAGACAGTTAGCTATAGATTTTGAGATGCATTTTCATACCTTCATTTTTTTTTAGTCTTTAATTTTCAAGCTTTTGTTGTAGTTCAGTTTTGGATGTGCTTTAACCCAGCCATTCACTCACTCTGCCACTCATGGAATGGGGGAAAGAATAGGAGAAGTGAGAAATCTCATGGGTTGAGATGGAAGACAGTTTAATAGGGAAAGTGAAAAACTGCTCATTCAAGCAAAGCAAAATAAGGAATGCATTCACCACTTCCCACTGGCAGGCAGGTTGAGTCAACCCCAGGAAAGCAGAGCTCCACTGCATGTGACAGTGGCTTGGGAAGACAAAAACCAAACACTCTGAATGCCTGT